GGGCCCCTGACTCGAAGCACCGAGGTGCTCCTTCCCAGGTGGGTAAAAGCTTGGCGTCCCTTAGAGAAGAGCCCGGGCTCTCCGAGCTAGGCGAGGGACTGACTCACCGCGGTATTAGCCCTCGACGAGTTGACTGTCTTTGACTTGGCATTTCCTCCATGCCGAGTCGGGATTGTGCTGCTAGGTTGGAATGTTCACCAAGCCAGGTCATGCGCACGTGTCCTAGGTTCATGGGGTTGAGCCAAATCGTCCTCCATCAATTGCCCCCCACTCCCCGTGCTGGGGACGGGGGCCCCAATGCGGGGAGTTCATGGTTCGCCGGGCAGATTTGGTTCGGTTACTCACACTGCTGTGCTAGGCGGTTCAATGGCTGGACCGGTCGGGCATTTGGTTCTTTATGGGAAAAAACCCACATCTTGTGCAACTCACGCGCGGACGTCAAGCACTTTATGCTGCGCGGACGCCAAAAAACGCGCTAAATTGAATTCGCGTCGGCAGCCCCGCAGCCGGTTTCTTTGAGGTCCGTTGGATTGGTCCAATCCTGACCGTTGGTCACCGAGCCCCGCGTCTATAAATAGTGGGGTTCTGGCATTCTTTTCGCTGCTAAGTAGCTTTCGCTCTGAGCTCGCGTCTGAAGTCTCTAACTCGGGTTTTTTCAGCTCGTTTTCGCCTATTTCAGGTGAGTCTCTGAGCCTTTCCTTTCCTTTTCTTTCTTCTTTTCTTAGCCCGTCCTCCTTATGTCTAGCGAGAGTAGCTTCTCGGATGAGCCCGGGGTGGGCACTTCGGGTCATGGTGACCCTTCCCTGGCCCGACCTGCCCGCAAAGCACGGGCAGCTTCGGGTAAGTTGGCGTCCACCTCCCATCGAGGTCGGGTGCCGGACCAGTTCGGTCCCTCTACTCTGACACCGGAGAGGCTTCAAGACCTCATTCAGCAGTTCAACCTTCATTCTGAGTATAGCTACAGCCTTCCCACCGGTAATTTCCCCTAGGAGCACGGTCCGGATGAGGTCGTGATTTTCAAGGAATAGCTCGTCGGCGGGCTTCGTCTCCCTCTTCACCCCCTTATCCCCGAGGTGTTAAGGCGTTTCAACATCACGCTGGATCAGCTCCATCCCAACTCCATTCGGAATTTAGTGGGGACCATTTCCCTCTGCCATGAAAAGCGGTTCTCTTTGGACGCGGACATACTCTGCTCCATACTGCTAATAAAAAAGAGTGCCTCTAGCGCTCCCCTTGAGCACGGGCAGGTCTACTACTTATCTCCTCGCCCAGGCTTTAAGCTACTAAATAAGTTCCCGAGCAAGGTCCCGGCTTGGAAGCGGGACTACTTTGTGGTCCGGGCCAGCACAAGATGGCCCTTCCTTACCAGCTGGAGGGTGGCTACCCCGGCGACCAGCATCACCTTCAACCAGCAGACGTGGGAGGCCTTCCACTCGTGGGCTTAGGCTGAGCTTGATCATCGGGAATACATCACCGAAGAGAAGCTCGCTTAGACCGGTTTGAGCTCGGGTAGGTTTACTTCTGTCTTTTGGGCGCTTTGTTTTTATCTGCTTGTCATTTTTGGATTTACTWACGCCAACTTTGTTGTAGGCCCCACGGACGAAGAAGAGAGAATCACGGCTACCCGGCTCCTTAACCAAATGAAGAGGAGGAAGAAGCGGACCGCCAAGAAGGTCGTCTAAAGGGCTCGTGTGGAGTCATCGAGGGCTCCCTCCCCCGAACCCGATCATTCCCGGGCTCTTGCCCCTGAGACCGGGCTCAACAGTGCCCCTCCGGTGATAGATCTAGAGGGTGACCTTCCACCCCAAAGACCTGAGGCTGCGAGGGGGTTGGAGAACGAGCCAGTCGGGGTTACTGCCGAGGCTCCGAGCTTAGCTAGGGCGGCTGCTGAGGCTACAGAGGGGTTGGCTCAGCATACTGCAGACGCGGCGGTGTCCATCTTGGGGACCGAAGAGGAGGAGTCCATCTTGGATCCCGAGGTCAGCCTCGACCGAAGCAAGAGGGGCGTCATCAATGCATAAGTCATGAGCTGGGCCGAACTCTCCCCAGGTCAGCTCGGAGGTCGCGCGGCAACCCACATCATGGTGGTAAGTTCRTTTTTTGTGAGCAAACACTTTATCTCACTTCTCTGCTTTCACCCCCCCCCCTTTTTTTTTGGCTGACTAGTTTCCTTCTGTTAGGCGAACACTGTCGTGCATGCCTTAACTTTCCAATCTGATAAACACCTGAGGCGTGCTTTGGCTGCTGAGGAGTCATCCCGTGTGGCCCATGTCGAGCTAAAGGCAACACAGGACAAGGTCCATCAATTGGAGAGTGTTGCCGCCGCCCAGAAAGGTCTGAACGACACCTTGGCACTAGAGAGGGAGGAGCTGGCCCGGGAACGAGACAGACTAAAGGCAGAGGTGAACGGGCTCTGAGTTGGTCAAGAAGCCCTAAAGCTCGAGGTGGAAAGCCTCAAAATGGCCCAGAAGGCTTCACAGCTCGAGATGCAGGCCCTCAAGGGAACCAAGGAGGCCCTAGAGCGCGAGGTGGAATCTCTCAAGGCCGATATCAAGGAGAAGACGGAAATATTTCACGATGCTCTGGAACAGACCAAGATTCAGTCCGTCATCGACTATGTCAAGTCCTCGAGGTTCGACAATGTAATGTCAAAGGCCTACCGCAGGGTTCAAGCTCGGCCGATGGTGGATAAGGCATACCTACCCCGATCTGGATATAAGTGCCTTCACTTCTTTCAACATCACAGGTGACATGGCACGCCAGGCCGCGGATGACCCAGACTCTGAAGACGATGGCGGCAACGGGGAGGCTGACGCCACCGATTTGACTGATTCTTCTGAGGAA